TAACTTTAAAAACACTAATCTCAATAAATATTTTAAAAAACCATCCTTTTTCATGTAATGACCTATTTTTTAAACCAAAAGAAAAAAAGCCAGATTTTAATGTAATCCCACTTTTTTTAATATGACCATTGATTACATGGCATGTGTTGATTGGTCAAATAAAATTAACATTATTGTCTCTAGATTTAATTAAGGATTTAAGAATAAACAAAATAACTTGTAAATTACATATTTGCCCTCTTATCCTCTTCTCTATCATTTACCCTCCTCTGTAAGGTTCTCCTTTCTCTAACTACTCTGGTTCTTCACTTCTCGGGCGAACAAATTTAGATCATTCCTATGTTTCTTTACATAGAAAACACAAGCAAAAGAGGTAAAAGCCAAGATTCAAGACACATATAGGATTAATATTACCAAAAAAATTTAAGTTTTCATCAAATCCAAAAGGTTAAATCTTCAATTTGGTCCTTGAACTATTATACGGACCCCTGATTTGGTCCCTGAACTATTGTATGAACCCTCAATTTGGTTTTTACTGTTTACCAATTTACCCTAAATTAGTCTTTCCGTACAAAAAAAAAAACTAACGTGTCTAGTATTTAACGAGAAAAAATAATAACTTAACGGTCATGTATCACATTAATAACGAGACATATAAGCTTTTTTGTATAGAAAGACCAACTTAAGACAAATTGGTAAACAGTAGGGACTATATTGGGGATCCATACAATAGTTTATGGATCAAATTAAAAATTTTTTTAGTTTAGGAACCAAATCGGAGATCCGTACAATAGTTTAGGAACCAAATTGAGGATTTAACCAATCCAAAATCATAGATCCAAGAACAAGATTTAATCAAACCCCAAAATCATAAACTCATCATTCTTGATCATCCCTACCTTACCTTAAATCAACCCATCTCCTCCTCTATATCAAGCCCCTTGAAACATTATGGAAACAAAACAATTCAAATAGGCCACCAAAAAAGTTGAAGAAAAATCAAATAGATTTGGTTTTAATAGATCATGTAGGCAATTTTCAAACTAATAATTGATCATTAAACCCAAAAAATTCCTAATTTTGCTAAAAATGGAGTTCAAGCAAATCAAAGACAACCTATAAACGAAAGTTCAAAACTTGAAAAGACAGTAAAAAAAATTAAAAACCTAGATCGACTCCAATTGCAAGGGACTCTTTGGTTGCTCATGTGAGGTCTTTTGCCAATGGCAAGGGTCATCGAACCCTGTCGACATGGCTACCAACTCCTACAACCCAAATCAGTGAATCCTTGGTCTCAACAAGAATGATGTCGCCTACACACTCATATCTACGAGTATTGGAGAATGGGGAGAGAGAAGGGGAAGAGGAAGGGAGAGGAAAGTAAAAAAAATAATATTTTAATTTGAGAAAGTTGTTTTATAGGACAAATCGCATGCAATCTGTTTGTAAAATTATTTAAATGCTTTTAATTTTAATTTTATATTATTTTATTAAAAACATTTAAATAATTTTACATAATAGATTGCATATAATTCACCTTATAAAATAGTTTTTTTTTTAATTTTTAAACTTATTTTTTTAAAATTATCTAAATTGGATTGCCATATGTAACAAAAAGTCTCACATGTCACTAACATATACATGCATGATAGAGGGCAATGGTGAATGTGTTGCACGTGATCTTTTCACATTAAGTATTGCATTATTATCTTAAACTTAAAAAATGAGAGGGCAGAAAATCATAACTTATAAGAAGAGGGATAGAATGCCTCATGTTTGAAGAGTTGAAGGGCAGAGTGTGGGTTTTTGCCCAAAAAGGGTGGTCCGTCAACTTGCCCAAGACGCTGCATTCTATTCGACACCGTATTTGCATCAAATTCAAAGGCTTAAACTCAAAGTCCAAACTCACGATTGTTTTTATTTTTTATTTTTTAGAATGTTCTAGCATCATTTTAATAAATAAAAAAATTATTTAGGAAATCACAAATTTTCATATTTGTATGAGTAAATTATTAGAACTACATCATCTCTAAGGTTGTTCATGTTAAAAAAAAAAAAAAAAAAAAAAAACCCTAGTTTTTCTTGGTTGTCTAGTATACCTCCAACCATTTGCTAGCGTGGATGGCAAACTAAGGTATACTATAGAAACCTTTTTAAACTTGTATAATTTTAGAGAAATGAAAGGGAGGGAAGAAAACCGAAAGGAAGATTCTTTATTTAATTAAGTTAAAATATTGGGTCAACATCTTACCATGATTGAATGAGACCATTTTTCTCTCTCTTCTTCTCACCATTTCCCTCCAATTAGACATGTTTCTGGATTAGAGTTGTCTTTCCTAATCATTTGCATTATTATTGAGATTTTTTTCTTTCACATTAGATCAGTGGCGGAAGGGTTAGGCACACACGCTACCCTTTCCCCAAAAACAATAAGAAAATGGAAGCTCAATGAGATAAGGTAATTCCCCAAAAACAATAAGAAAATGGAAGCTCAATGAGATAAGGTTTTACCTTGACAATTGACATAAATAATTAATTAGGATATTTAGTTTCTTCAATTTGATAATTAAAGACACAAACTTTAATTTTCTATTATTAATTAAGGATTTCAATTCTTGCTTTTTCTTGTCTATTAATGGATTAGTGGATTTCAATGTTTGATAATATGTAACTTATTTACCTAAGAAAATTTTTAGAATATTAAAAACATTAAATTTCTAAAATACACTTTCTCCTTTTTGTTTACCTTATGGCTCATCTTCATTCTTCTCCTCCCATCATTGTCATAACTATTGATAGCAGACTTTGGAGAATTTGCCAAAAAAATGTAAATAAATCCAAATTAGTGCACAAATAACAACCACTAATTACATTGTCATTAATCCTTTGGTATTTGAAACCTATATTGAATCTCGATTAATTTAAAGTTTAGTTGGATTAGACTTTATAAAAGGAAAGCTCTTTTAGTTTTTTTTTTTTTTTTTATCATTTGCAAGACTTAAACTCAAAAATTTACTTAAAAAGAATTAAATTCCTTTTACTCGGATCAACATACTATTAATTTAACAATCACAAATTAATCAAATTACATTAACACAACTAATCTTAATAAGATGGACATAATTTTGAACTTATAAAAAAAGGGTTTTGTTTATTGTTTGAGAAGTAATGCGCTCTATTCAAATTCATAAGCATAAATAAAAAATAAAAAATCCATAATTCAAATAATTGTATCTTAAAACTGAATTCATAGAAGTTTTTAAAATCTTTTAAAATATTTTATTTCTAACATATAATTGTTAGAGAACCCAGGAGTTTCTTCGACACAACATCGAAGAACTCATCAATTCTTTAGAAAGTTACTAACGATAATAAGAAGTGCACAAACAAGACAACTAAACAAGTAGAATGGAGATCAATAGAAGAGTGAAAAAACATAGAAAATAATTACCATTATCTACTAATTATTTTTATTTATTTTTATTGTTAATTTTAAATTTTCTTTTTCAAATAAGTAAAGTGATCAGGCTACTAATAGCAAATTACTAATTTCCACCCAATTGCTATCATGCTTTATTCCGTATGGAATCTTGGTTCTGCCCACCACCTTAGATGATTAAACCTTACAATAAAAAACCAAACTTTACAATAAATGATGATCCTCCCTTTCTTAGAAATTTTTATCACATATCAAAGATTCAAACCTTAAATTAAAAACTCAAATATTAAAGTTAACTACTTGCAACACCCATTGGGACGATATTTATTGATCATTTGATGTGACTCTAATTTAAATATTTATCTGGTAAAACAGGGAAAATGCAATTTGGAAGAATGAAAATGACTTAATGAAAATGACATTAAGTTATCATATTCGGAGTAAAAGAAGATAGAAAAAGAGACCCATGTTTAGATAAGGGTAATTTAATTGGAACGAAGACAATTGTATACCTCCTCTGTCTCAGAACCAGGGAGTAATGTAGATGCTTTTTCTTATTTAAAATTTATCTTAAAATAATTGTAATTATTTTTTATATTTTACGATATATATTATTTTAAAACTTAATATAATAATTTAAAATTAACAATTAACAGTTTAATTTAATTTAATAATTAATAAGAATAATAATTATTAATTTAAATATTATTATTTATTATATTAAATAAAATTATTAATGGTTAATTTTAA